CCCACACTGGGGATCGAGCCTGCAACCCGGGCATGCCCTTGACTGGAATCAAACCTGGGACCTCCTGGTTCACAGGTCGACGCTCAACCCCTGAGCCCCGCCGGCCGGGCACTATTTCCCCGCTTCTCTGTCCTCTTCCTTCCTGGGAGGGACCGCGGAGAGAGTGGACGTCCGGTGGTTCGTGAATCTATTAGGATTTGCTCCAGAAAACCCCGGTCTCGCCCCACGGCGTTGCTGCAGCCTCCATGCGGTGTCTAGATCTGCGGAGGCCGCCAAGCCAAACAGTTGGTCTTGGCCGCCTGCGCTCCCCCCTCCCTGAGATCTTACACATTCCTCTCCAGTGAGTGGGACGCAGAAATAGACACTGCGCTCCGTTGTGGTCTTTCTGTTTTTAGAACGGACTCGGCCAGCTGAGCCCCCGTCCCCCCTGGGGTCACTGACACGCTGTCCTGGCCCCCCCACCCCGCACACCCTCCCCAGCCGGCTCTTCGGTGGGGCTGTCAGCATCATCGCCGGACGACGGGAGAGAGGTTCCTGTTCACTCCTCATCTCTCCTCTCAGAGCCAAGGCCAGCCCTGGCCGGTGTGGCTCAGCGGATAGAGCGCTGGCCTGCGGACTGAAGGGTCCCGGGTTCAAGTCCAGTCAAGGGCACATGCCTGGGTTGCGGGCTCCATTCCCAGTGTGGGGCGTGCAGGAGGCAGCCGATCCGTGATTCTCTCTCATCGTTGATGTGTCTGTCCCACTCCCTTCCTCTCTGAAATCAATTAAAAATTAAAAAAGATGGAGGGTTACCTGGACCGCCTACCCACCTCCCCGCCCGCCCGCAGCCGCTGCGTCTCACCCATCAGTCTTCCCGGGTGAGCAGTGGGCGTCCTCCTGGGCTCTGCACCGTGGGCCGGGCCGGCGTCCCCTCCTCTCCCAAGGGGGCTCTCTCTCCACACCCGGAAAACGGACTTTCTGTCCAGAAATAAGAACATCGCACCTGGAACTTGATGGTCTCTCCGGCGCTCATCACGGGGTGCAGAGGCTGGTCCCCACCAGGGCTGCCCCCCTCCCGCTCGCTGCTCTGTCCCCAGTCACATGGGCCCCGCCCGTCAGAGCTGCCAGTGGCGTGACCTTCAGAGGCAGGTCGAAGGGGAGGAGGTCGCAGCCCCTGGCAGTCCCAGACCTGCTCAGCCCGGGAATGCTGAGGCCTGGGACCGAGGGAGACGAGATCTAACAGGAGAAAAGGCCCGTCTCCTCCTCTCCCTTCCTCCCGCGCCTTCCCGGAGGGGTGCGCCTTAAACACTACAAACAAACCCCTGGGTCTGGGGGGCTGTGGGAGGAGACTCAGCACCCCCGCATTGGTCAAGGAGGACTGTTTTACAAATATATATATAGTTTTTATTTCAGAGAGGAAGGAAGAGAGAGAGGGAGAGAGAGAGAGAGACATCAATGAGGAGAGAGAATCATGGATCGGCTGCCTCCTGCACGCCCCACACTGGGGATCGAGCCCACAACCTGGGCCTGTGCCCTGACCAGGAATCGAACCCTGACCTCCTGGTTCATCAGTCGACGCGAAACCACTGAGCCGCCCCGGCCGGGCCAGGAGGGCTGTTTCTTAAAGGGGATTGTGGTCATGTCTCACTTGCACAGTAGAACACAACGTCTGCCCGGGGGGGAGGACTCAGGGTCAGATACGTCGGGCTGTTTTCCTCCCGTAAGCTCTGGCTTTCCTCGTCTTCATCCCAAAGTGCCCAAACCAGGTCAACCCGCCCAGCCCCCTCTCCTCGCCAGGGGACGCCCTCCCGGGAGGAGCGGGGACGTGGAGGGAGCAGGTCCGTCCACTCGAGAAGGTCACGCCCAGCCCAGTGCTGCCCATGTGCCCTTTCCGCTCGCCCCCAGCGGCCTGGGGCTCA